ATGTTTTATTTTGTATATATATTATATTTTATATATAATTATGTTTTATATTATATATATTATGTTTTCCTTCTTGCCCTCTCATGTCATAAAAAATGCATTTAAAGCAGGAAATCTTAAACCTTATTATTTAATTAATACTTAATCTAATTAATACCTAAACCATTTCTCTTCCTTCTTGATACCTTTCCTCACTGTAGAGACTGAGTTGGCAAAAATTATTGTTTTATTCTCTGTTATTTTTACCTGTTTGCAGTATCCAGGCATTTTCTGAGTGCTCAGAAAGATTCTGCTTTTATTTTGTGAGCCAAATATGAGGATGAATCAGATTATGGGTGTTACATTTGAAATTGTTCTCTGTGTGTTTCTTTGCAGGTCCTGGAGCAGTATGAACGAGAAGGGTTTAATTTCCTCGCCAAAGTTTTTAATTCTTCACATTCCTTCTTGGAAGACTTGACAGGTCTGACTTTATTACACCAGGAGACACAGGCTGCTGAGGTAAGCAAATGAAATTGGGATGTTAATTAATCATGTGATCAAATTAGAGGATTGAGCAGTGGAATTTCATTTACAGAGTGACTGACACAATGATTTAGACATTCTCTTAAATTAGCTATAACTTTATCTGCGTGTTATATATTTATATATATTTTATATATAAATATATATTCTATATTATATATTTTATATATATAATATATATGTGTGTATATATATGTATATATATATCCCTCATATATATATTTTATATACTATAAATATTATATATATTTCTAGTATTATATTATTATAATATATATAAATTTTATTACATATAATATATATATTTTTATAGATTTTATATATGTTCTATGTATTCTATATTATATAATTTTTTATATCTATATAAAATAGATATATTTTATCTATATATATATTTTTTATTAATATATATATATGTGTATATATGTGTGTATATATATGTGTATATATATATATATATATATATGTGTGTATATATATATATATCTATATATATATATATATATATGAGAGGGATCCAAGAAGGGAAAACAAGCACCCTTTGATACATGCCACTCATTAACAGCAGGAATAATTAAAGTCTGATTTCCAGGCCTGAACATCTGTGTTACTAATGTTAAATGTAAAAGCAATTAAAATTAGTCATGTATTATTTAGCAGGTATTAATCCATAAATCCCTTTTGCAGCTTCACACTAGGTGTTTGTTAATGAGGTTTTTGATATTCTCTACAAAATATAGAGTCTGGTGGGACTTACTGCAACTTATTGTATTTCAAAGTTTTGCTCAAAACCCAGAATTTGTGTCCTTTCAAAAATCCTGGGGTATTTTAGTGAAGTTTGTGCAGTGAAATCACTGCTCAGGGGTGGAAAATCTGACATAAAATGTATTTGCATAGCTCATACTTTCAAATTAATATAATTGCCATCAAACCAGGGAGCTTGCTTGATTCTTCCCTCTGGGATTGCTGCATTTTTGGGGAAATCCATCTCTTTCAGCAGTTGAATATTCTTGGTGAATCTGCGTTTCTGAATGGCAGGGGCTGACAGGCAGATTATTTATGGGTATTCTGGAGCACCCCTGCTTGCTTGGGGTTAAAAACCAGCTCTTTGGTACATTTTGCCACTGAAAAATATTACATTTTGGCTCTGGTTGTTTTGTGCTCCTTCACAAGTCTCCCAGTTCATCATCTGGGGCAATTCTTAAATTTTTTAAGTGCACAAGAGAGTGCTTTTAATATCTTTTCTGCAGAATTACTGTAGTTTAATATCTTTTCTGCAGAATTACTCTCCTTTAATATCTTTTCTGCAGAATTACTCTCCTGCCTTGAGCTCCTTTTCTCTTGTATTTCGAGCTCCTTTTTCTCACGCTGCAGCTGGGGATTGTGAGTCTGTAAAATGATTTTTTTTTTTTGGTTTCTGGCTGCTTTGGAGCTGTTCTTGGCAGATTATTCCCTAAAATGGAGCCACTGGATTTTAGGTTTGGTGCTCCTTTGATTTGAAATATTCTCATTACATTCTAAAGCACTGAGAGGTTTCACCAGGTGTGGATGGCCTGGTTGGGGATGGGAATGTTTCATTTTTCTGGTGGGAAATTATCTTTTTTTCATCACTCAGAGAGATTTTGTGGGTTATTGATGCATTTAGAGGCCATAAAATGGCTTCTGGTAACTGCAGATTTTCCTTTCCTCCTGTCTGGTAAAACCTATCCAGAGCTATAAAGAAAATAGACTTGTAAATTTAGATGTCATCCAACCTCTTATTTACCCAGTAACATCATAGTTGGGTTGTAATTCCATGTATAAATCCCTGATATTTCCCTAATAAACTGCATCTGATAGGGGAACCACTCAATCTTGTGCTCATTTTTAAAAGGTTCTCTGTTAAAATGTGAATTTACTCAGAGCATTTCATTGAACATTTTGCCAAGAGCGTTTTGGTGCGGTCAGATAAAGAGTTGTGCTGCTCTTCTGTTTCAAATTTTTTAAAAATATTTTTTATTTTTAGTTCACCTAAATGCTTTGCTGCTTTCATGATGCGTGTGTAAAAGTGCTTTAATGAGGATTTTTTTTTAAAGTTTTGAGTTTGCCTAAAAGAGAATCTGAATAAGTTGTGCATGTTCTGTAGGAATGAATATTAAATGCAACAACATTTTTGGATATATAGCCTGAATTTCCC